ACAGGGTTGTCGTTGATGACAGGACACTTAAAGAAGAACTAATACTTCTATAGACTTCCCCCTTAAAGAAGGAGGAGCGGTGATTCTTGTCATTTCAAGAGCAGAGGTTGAGATGACAGGTGGATGAAAGGGGTGAGGAGTGATACTCAGGAAGGCTCTTAACATGGTGATTCTCATATGTTTCCTCTTTTAGATCACTACACTTTTTTTTAATCTATTCCTGATACTTTGTTCTGTAGGTAACAATGGAGAGTGTGTGTGGTTGTTGGTTTGATAGAGTACTTTCACTTCTTTCAGGCACATAAGATATTTTCCAAAACAGCTGCCTAAACCGGTACTTTTTTTTTAAAAGCCGTCCCTTGAAGATTTGAGCCACCACTTATCCGTCCGAGTGGTCTGTCTTTTCATGTTGTGTTTTACAATGTGCTCAATAGTAAAGGGCAAAGTATTAAAGGAAGTCATCAGAGAATTGTGTAAAACCAAGCCATGTGACATAGTAAAATGCTCTCTCTTTGTCCCATCTGTCTTTTATCTCATGTTAGATTGATGCGGCTCTCCAGCGCAGACATGCAAAGCAGTCTCTGCTGTGGCAGAGCCGATGGTGGGGGGTAGTAGTAGACGGTGCAGCGACTAAAACGGCGACAGACAATTAAAGCATGTCACACATAATCATCTGAGGACATTTCCTGTTCACCTAAGCTAATCAGGTGTCACTGACTGGCCTGTCCATGACCTGATTGTCACATCCTCCCCACAAGGGAGAAAAAAAAWCTAAAAGAAAAATATGGTGCAGTTTATTTGAGACAGGAGAATAAGTAAGGCAAATCAATTTGATTCATTTTTGGAATCCAAATCTGCACTGATTCTTGTATTAAAATGATCTAATCTCTAATGTTTTTACTCTTTGAACTCCTGGCAAGAGGAAACCTCCATAAAGTATATCTAACTAAATATATCTAAATATCTAACTACTGGGTTCCGTTTTTCTGTTAGCCGTCGTCCACCAGGTCAGGCTCAGGTCAACTGTCTTCACTGGCATCGTTTCTGTCTTCTTCTTTTTTTTCTTTTCTTTTTTAATCCACCCTGCACGGCATTTGATGCTATTCTTAACGCTGCAACGCATGCAAATCAGGGGGAAAGGACGTTTAGTAATTGAGCCTCTTAACTACTCCCACTCAGCTACAGCACTGGTTAATGCAAGTCATCGCAGCATCTCTACGCTCGGAGTGCAGTTGTCACGTCCGTGAGGGTGATGGTCGGGTGAAACTGGGTCTGCAGGTGTGAATGCATTTTGTTCGTGCCCACACGCTGTTTCATTCTGATTTTCAAAGTGCCGAGCAATATCACGGGAATTAGTATTTTAATAAAGCATTTATTACACACCAAAGCATTTTGTACAAGATCTGAGAAATGAGCATTGCAAACTAACGCTAAGCAACTTTTAACATGAGCCGAATCATCCTCTCGTGCTTGCGTTCCTTTTTTTATGTTTTTTCTACCTTGGCTCAGGGACTCAAGCAAAGGTCATCTGCTTGAGTCACTTGGCAGCAGAACACGAGCTACTAATGAGCTTGCCAAAAAGTTCAGGGGTATGGAAGCGATCTGCGACTTTACTATGACTCCACAGTTTCTCAGCTGAGCGCCAGGGCTGCCCAGGTCGACTCACTTAGCCGCTAATAGGTTTAAGCTAATCAGTACCAGCATTTGTTTAGTAATAACACTTCCTCTGCTGAGCCATCACACTAGGTCCACTCTTTTGCTGTCAGGCCACATTTTTTTTCCTTTCACCTCTACGAGTTAAAAAGGAGGAATCTTTCACTTTTTCCCCCACCAAATAATAGACAGACCGCAGAAATTGCTAATCCAAAAACATTGGAATTGATCTATAAAATTTCAGCTATACATAGTAATAGCTGTGTTAATGATTTCTAAAAAGAGGTACAGTAATTGTTTAGTCCTCTGAGGATATATTTATGTAAAATCATCTGTGTGTTCTGCAGCTAGATGTAGTTTTTGATTAGTATTCAGAGTGGATTGTTTTCCTGTCCTGACTTGCGCTCTTCAATCTCTCTTCATTAGATTTTAATAGGTTTTTTTTTATTGCTCAGGTCACACAGGACTTTGCGCAAAAGAATGCAAATGTCCCCACGTGCTGGATTTCGCTTTAAATTATGCTGCTGTACTGTCCTGACTGTAGGACACATTTTATTCACCTGGCCAGGAGTCCAGTTTGTTCGAGTTGTGGAAAAAGCTGACACTAACTAATGTTAGAGGAGTTTGATTTAAAACGGAGCCCCAGATTAAATATTTAGCTCATCACATAATGTCATTGGACACTCAGACATGTTCCGCCTCTGATCTCACTCACACACACACACACACACACACACACACACACACACACACACACACACACACACACATTTATAAATATCTAACCTCAGTCAGGACATCTTAGGCCGCTTTAATCAATCGCAGTCAATAAATCCTGGTCAAGATAAAGAGCTGCAGCTGAATCTCATGCAACACCGACCTCACAGGATTATACCGGATGTTCTTATCCARCCCCTTACAGAACAGAGTACGCTTTACCGTATTTGGCTTCACAAGAACAAACAATAACAGTTTTTATGCAAAATGTGTAAATGTACTCTTCTTTAGAATATGAAAATGAGACAAAAAATAATGAGATAAAACGACTTTTTGGTTCATTTTTTTCTTTATACTTAGATTTGTTTTGAACAAGTTGGTTATTTACAAAACAGATATTTGTTGCTTGTTTCCATGAAAAGTGGGCGATCTTTTAATATCTCATGAAACACAAGACCAATTTAATTAAACTCAGAAATTATTCACTAGATGGGCAACTACAACTCTTGTGGAGTACATCTGTCGACCTCAGAAAAGGCAAAACTGTCTAACTCGGTCAGTTTTCCAGATACTTATGGAGAGAATAAGTCTCCCAATGCGAGTATGCATGCACAACAATATTTGTGCGCACAAACAAGTAGGTTCGAGCAAGCAAGCAACAAGTTTTTTAAGTTCACAAGTGTATGAATCTACTCTCCTACAAATTTGACTTTTGAGACTTTCACAYATGCAGTGTTGCAGTCAAGGCTGGAGAAATGCTGAGAAGTCTGAACTTTACCATGTTTACTGGGTTATTGGGGAAAATACATTTCTGACTTATAGCTCATAAACCCTACACTATATTAAATCACATACACTTATATTAATGTTACAGAGTTCTAAAATGTTGCATTTAGGGGACTGTACAGCTGAAACAAGCAAACTAAAATGAGTAGGTTGAAAATTTATTAGAACAAATAAATATATATTACCGGAAAAATATATTTTATTTCAGTTGAACAGTCCACACAAAAAATCCAGGAAATTATAAGGTCTTTTTAAGGTTAAACTATTTGGTTACTCGTCTACAAAAACTACTGAAAACATATTTACCAGTGTTCCTCTGCAAAARCTACCAGTAAATATTCTGGAAAAATATACATTCCTGCTTTATTACTCAAAACGGTTGAGTTATTTATCCCCTGGGGGGGGGAAGGGAAAATATATTTATTGGTAGGTTTTGTAGAAGAATAACTGGGAAAACTACTGGGAAAACATATTTCTCAGGTAATATTTGTTTATTCTGAAAATCAACTCCTTTTAGGTTGCTTATTTCAGCTGTAAATCCACAAGGTGTAACATGTTTGAAATGTCAGTGTAGGTTTTTTATACTATAGGTTTATGAGCTATAAGTCAGAAATGTGGTAAAGCTCATAGTCAAACTCAACACATATTCTGAGAATTAGCAGGGTGCACATGATCTTTGTATAAAGCTTTGGCATGAGACACAGCAGGGAATATGCATTAAAGAGATACTGGCTCATACTTGGACCTGTACGTACATTTAGCCAATGTCCTTGTAATTTTGTTTAAATTCAAATGTTAAATTGAAAAGAAAAATATTTTATGTGATCTTGCTACCCCACAGTGTCCTTGGCTGTGTCCAAAACGGCAGGACGGGTCCTTCGGAGGACCCAGACTCCCCGATCTCGGTGGGCCGGGTCCTTGGTAGACCGGGAAGACCGGAAAAAAAGAGGCTGTGGATTTGGACGGTCTAGCCTCCCCTCCTTACCCCGGCGTATGTCTTGTCACCTAGCAACTGTGACGACGCTAAACAAGCAAACTTAAATCAAAACTAGAAAAATATCAATACATTAGCATTATTAATATCACGAAACTATAAAATTAACTTAAAAGTATCATTTGAAGAACTAATTGACCCGCTGTAGGTTCATGTTTATTTCGCGTTTTTATGACGAAAAAATAATATTTAAAAACATGTCCATACAAATGATAAAAGTATTAGAATTACAACCGCTAATTTTTTTAAATTTTTAAATCACCATACTTTTATTTAAAATGTATTCTTTTCTCTCGCTTCGTCCGCCATTACTAGCTTAAAAAATCTCCGGTCGGGCCGCAATGCATTATGGGATATGCTGGGCCGGGAAGGATCCATCAGACCTGTCCTTCGATTCGGGGAAAAAGAAGGACGTATTTGTCGGCCGCATCGGAGGAGTCTTCCGTTTTGGACGTCCTTCGTCGCGGCGCTGTGACGTATGCGGCCGACAAATTCGACCTTCGGAGGACCCGTCCTGCCGTTTTGGACACAGCCCTTATGTACATTTAGACTGTAACCTTGCAGTAATCCTTATGGGTATAATGGATTGCTCATCTATATGCAGGAACACACTCAGTTGCTTTCAAGGAAAGGAAAGACGACTCATTAGATTCATATCACTCACTTTTAACACCTTTTAAATTGTTTTAATGCATTTCTTATGCCTTTAATTTAAAGTAGAGTCCTTTAACTGTGTATATTTCTGATCTGCCAAGTGCAACTCAGCAATCAAATATTTATTTTGAGAAAGTCATCTGATTTAGTTTGCACTGTTGAACTAAGATTTTTTTTCTGCTCTTTTTTTTTTCAGATTCTAGCCATCATATCAATCCTGTTCATCGTCCTCTCCACCATAGCCTTGTCTCTCAACACCTTACCGGAGCTTCAGGTCTTAGACGAGTATGGCAATCCCAATGACAACCCTAAGCTGGCCCACGTRGAGGCTGTGTGCATTGCATGGTTCACCATGGAGTACCTCCTCCGCTTCATGTCTTCTCCCAACAAGTGGAAGTTTTTCAAGGGTCCACTGAATGTCATTGACTTACTGGCCATCCTGCCCTACTATGTCACCATATTCTTAACAGAGTCCAACAAAAGTGTTCTGCAGTTCCAAAACGTGCGCCGTGTAGTGCAGATATTCAGGATCATGAGAATATTGAGAATCCTGAAGCTGGCCAGGCACTCCACGGGGCTCCAGTCTCTAGGATTCACTTTGAGAAGGAGCTACAATGAACTGGGGCTGCTTATATTATTCCTCGCCATGGGCATCATGATATTTTCCAGCTTGGTCTTCTTTGCTGAGAAAGACGAAGATGCCACCAAATTCACCAGTATCCCTGCTTCGTTCTGGTGGGCAACCATTACAATGACGACAGTGGGCTATGGTGACATTTACCCGCAGACTTTGCTTGGGAAGATAGTAGGTGGACTCTGCTGTATTGCAGGTGTGTTGGTGATTGCTCTGCCAATCCCCATTATTGTCAACAACTTCTCAGAGTTCTATAAGGAGCAAAAGAGGCAGGAGAAAGCCATCAAGAGACGAGAGGCGCTGGAGAGAGCCAAGAGGAACGGCAGCATTGTGTCAATGAACCTAAAAGATGCCTTTGCTCGTAGCATGGAGTTGATGGATGTGGTGGTTGAGAGAGGAGAGGACAAAACCTCTCTGGACAACCACCTGTCGCCGAGCCGCTGGGGTGGCTCAACCAGGCACGCCACCTCAGAAAGCAATCTCAGATCGCCAGACAAACGAAACACCGAGTTTCTACAGCAAAGCTCGCCCCATCGTATAACCATCACCACTACCGGAAGTCCTCAGAGGGTGAGCCGGACACCACAGCACCTTAATGTTCAGAAACTGGAGGAAATGTACAACCAGATGACCAAGTCCCAGTCCCTATCCAATCTCAACACTACAAGCTCCATTAGCACTCTCAGCACAACTATGACTGCTCCCGTCTCACCAAAGAAATCTCACAGCTCCGAATCCACGTTAAGGGATGAAGTKCAGCTGGAGATGAAGGAAGTCCAGTCTTGTCCGAAAGATAACTTTGCCAGCTGTTCAGCAGACTGCACAAGACATGGCTCCAATCCAGGCAAAGGCGACGCTGGGTCACACGAGATCAGACATCCCAGAGCYCCACCCTTCCTGGATCTTAGCCAACTGAGGACAAACGATGACCTGAGTTTCACCAGAAACCTACTGAAAGTAGGCTTCTATGAATCGATCATCCCAGATGATGGATCAGAGTTCCATTTAGAGGAAGGGGAGAGCTTTAACAGTGCGGTAAAGAACAGCCAGAGCTCTCCAACAAACCCTCTAAAAGGGAAAGGGTTGAAGGTTGACTTAAGAAAACCTTCCACCGAAGGTCCTCTCACTCCACCTAGCACTACCTCCCCCGGAGACATCAGCTCCAGCATCCTCGAAGATGAGTACCCCACGGGAGAGATGTCACCTCTCATTCCTGGCTCGGAGGAGCTCCTACCGGTCATAGACGAGGACACCTGYGGCCTCTCCCCTAAGAGGCTGGTGGTGGACACCCCGCCTGGCGATGAAGATCCATCCACAGAGAACCACAAGGAAAAGCATCTGATGGAGGAGGCAGGCGCGGCAGTCGCACCCTCGTCCCCCAAAACGGCAGCACAAAATTGCACTCAGCATGTGGTTGGAAGCGAAGAGGAAGCGGCTGACAGTAACTCTAGCGGACACAAAGTAGAGAACCACATATTTACATCCGATATCCACCTGATACCCGGGGACGGCAGCCTCTCTCCAACCTGTGAAACCAGCATGTGAATGTAACGGGAAGCTTTGAGGGACCTGCTGCGACCTCAGCCTGGCATGTGGGAGAGCGGGGTGCGGGGAAAGTTCAAAGATGCAGTTGTAGTGAAAGTTATTCTTGCATGGCATGACAAGTCTATTTACTTGTGTTGTTGTGTATTGCTGAAAAAGAAACTGCAGTGCTCTGTGCAGATTTTAGAACAAACGGGGGGCCTACTAGTGGAAGAGGAGACTCTAAAAATATGAAGAATTGATCAACTAATGCAGACACAAGTCATCCCAACATACAAAACAATAGTCCTTTTCCAGGAGGAGAAGGAAATGCACTATCTGTAAAAAGCATGCATTTAAAAAAAAGACAGATATTTTATGGTGCTTAGTTTACTGAAAGCGCTCCACTGTAAATACAATAGACCATGTAAGGCAATGACAATGCACAGAACGGCGAAGAAGACTGAAGATACATCTCTAATGTAAACAAGAAAAGGCGAGGGTTTGAATCAACAGCCCTCCAACTGGGTGTTGTATCGTAGCGATCTATAAAACTAAAAAACATATCATTACCTTATGTGGAAATGCAAAATGTTCCCATGACAACTCTGTAATGTTTCTTTCGTTTCTTGCGTACGATGATGTATGAAAATGTTACACTGGCATTATTGTTTTGGGTTTTCATAGCAGCTTTGGAACGTTCAGTTTGAGCATCTGATATTCACCTGATGAAGTTTAAAAAAACAAAACAAAGAAAATACAAAAACAACTCTAAAGCACACAAACCTGTACTGCAGTTGCCAAAAAATGTACATATTTATCAGAAACGAGGAGCTATGAGCTATACATCTATTTATTACAGTTTCAGAATAGGACCCTGTTTAAGATCCCTATTTGATTCCATCCAAATACTCTCTGATGTAAAACAAACATATCTAGAGGTAGTTCTCAGAATAAAATGTACATTAGTAGGCTTAGATTGGCAGTAGGAAAAATAAAAGTCAGTTCTTTTAAAGTGGAGATCTTGGGGAATGTTATGAACATTAATTATATTACCTGTCATAGATGGGGCTAAATGGATTACTGTAATTCCAAACTGACTCTAATCTTGAAATATTTAAAGTGAAATAGTTATATTGCCATCAGTTTTGCATTGCATTATTATTCTGGCAGAAATATCAGGATATTTCTGCACAAAGTGCCCTAAGCTGCGCCAGAGGTGCTACAGCTAGCTTCTGCTGCGGCTATTTGTGAGCCATCACATCGAAACGAGGATTAAGTCCAAACGTGGGACATAGAGAATTAGGCAAATATAGTGTTTTGATTAAAACATTTGCAAAAATTGCATTTTGTCAAAACATAATGAATAAATGCCTTATATCATTTGAATGAACTGTCTGAAATATAATCATAAAACAAAATTATGAAGCACTTTTTTGAGCAGTAGCAACAAAAAAATCTGATTTTGAGGAAAAATGCCTTAAGAGTTTGAGATTTTCCATGTGAGCTAGAAATGTTTTGTTTCTTTTCAGCTGGGAAATCTCAATATTCAAATATAATTTGCGGTTTCCTCTTTATAAGGACGTCAAAAATTCCTCATTAAAATTACATAAAATTAGGATTCAGACCAAATATTTATGTATTATCGTAACCTACAAGACAAATTAAGTTATATATATGGATTTACTTGTGATATCAGAATGATTCAGGTATCAAAATTTAGCGTTTGAAGCCAGGAATCTGAAAATGTAATTACGTCATTTTGACCAAATTTGACTTAATCCTCATTATGATATGATGGGTCACATTTGTGCTCACAGATTAGAGGTAATGTAAATAACCATGTAGAGCAAAAACTGACTATTTATAATTAGTTTTTAAGAGCCTSTCATTGGGATTGTTTTAGGATGGCAACAATTCATTTTGGTAGCTGTCCAAAGAACCCCCAAAAATCTGATATATTGCTTTAAAAAGGAATCCATTTAGTGACGATTCAGCACAGTATATCTGGTCAGCTATGAAGCTATCTGCTTTACCTATTAGTATTTATTCTGGCAATTCAGATGAGACAAACTCATAAAAAGACAGTATTACTTCTAATATCAATGGACCAAATGAAGCACACTTACAAACGTTCATCTATCTCAGCTGCATCAACTATATATGAGTATAACATGTGTTATAACAGTAGTTTGTTTGTTGCTTACAGTTTGTTTACCTGCACTGAGCTCATTGTCTTACCCTCTGCGCCCTAATGTCTCCACATTACTGCAACTATACCCCGTCCTGCAGATAAGTTTATTTTTATTCTCTCATACTCTATAATTGTGGTGTCTTTTATTGTGTTTTATTGTTGACGAAACAATTTTCAGTCAAACTTAAACCCAAAGGAGTTTGTTWATTTTATTTTATTTCTCTCTTGTCTTCTTCTTGCTTTCGTTTTACACTGACTGAAAATATCTGTTTGTATGTTGCCTTTGATTCCAATTTTTTGCTGGAATAGTTGTCAGTTGTCTTTTGTCTGATTGCGCTTGGAAATTGTGAAAGCAAAAGTACAAACCTAAATTGCAATGAGAGGAAGAACGTGGATGAATTACCTGTTGTTTTTGTTATTATTGTTATTACTATTATTATCACCATGTCTTTATGTGTTTTTGTTAATTGTTTTTATTTTTCACAGAAAGGTGTGGAATGTGCAATACCGCATACTGCAATCTATGCAGGCCAAGAATTGTGGCACTTTATTTTATTTCAATGGGAATTTCTAAGTGTACAGGCAGAAATTACTTGTATTTTATTAAAATGTTATATCTTTAATATGAAGTAAAACAATGTTACAGCTACCAGAATCTCACAAACAATGCAAATGAGAATTTGAATTTTACTTTTTATGTTATATGGCTGTTAAAATGCTGTCAAAGCACCTTAATGCCAGGTATCAATGGATCTCAAATTTAAGTATTTGTAGGAAAATGTGATCCAAATTGACCACCAAGGCCTTTTATATAGCTGTTTGGTTTCCATGAAAATCCAAATACACATCTGTGGAAGATTTAATCTAACTCCAACGGCCACAAGCAAAGTATTTGGTGTTTTTTTGTGAGTTAACACTGAGAGTGGTTCTATTTTTTCTAAATCAAAATGGAGCGCGACAATAATTTCCTGCCATACGGTGGTTGAAACGATGCCCACCTTTTCATACCACCGCTGTTTATGCGAGGGCAGCGAGTCATTTTGCTTTGTTCATATAGCACTGTACAGAAAATTCTAATTTTATAGGAGAAATCAGGTCTTTATGTAAATGATACAAGTAATGTTATTGAGTTCTCAGGTTTTCTATAAATCTCTGATGCTCTCATGGGATCGTTTGTTTTCTTTTTCTTTTCTTCTACAACTAATGTCGACTTGCTGTTTCTGTACTTTTTGAAAGCTGTTCTCAAAAATCACGTTGATGTCTTGGCTCCTGGACTAAAGGAGCCACAATATTTAACCCTCCTTCTGGGTAAATGTGTGTTCTRCATTCAGTATCCATCCCCATCGGTCTTCAGTGATTTATGGAGGAGTGCAAGCAAAAGGAAGAGGACCATTAAGCAGGGAGAGTGACYGGAGGCCAGATGAGGTTTTTGAGTGTCCTTCAGCTGGTTCGTCTGGTTACAGTGCCGAACACTTCGGTCCCCGCCGCTTTAGAGGCTCTAACCCTCAGGAACGGGCATCAGTAGGCAAAAGAAAGGGTTAAATGTCTCTTTGCACCTCTAATTAATTATTTCGGGTATGTTTTCTTTTTGTTTATGTACATACTGTATGTCCAAAGTAGCATATTCTGTCTCAGTATTTAAAAATTCACAARACCTCAGTTATCTTTGTGAACTGGCCGATTTGTCATCAGAAATTTGGATTCTTTTTTTTTGGGGGGGGGGGTACTCTACAATTAAAAAATTGGAGTTGCAGTTGTTTTTTTATCTTGAGAAAAGAGGTTTGATGATAATCCTCTTGTTAAAGCTCTTTAATTCTGTTCCCAGTTTTTCTTTACCCCTTGTTTTTGGTAATCGTACGTCCGTAGCAGCCTTGAACGATCCTTTTTTTTTTTTTTTGACAGAAAGGGTAGAGAAAGCTGGGGAGTTTGGATTGATCAGCTATATCCCGGTGGGATGAAATTTGTGAGAAAATTATTTCTGCCGGCTGACAGCAAAACAGACCGTGCTCTGTCTTACTGTCTCACTATTCATCTGTGGTGCGATACAGAGTGGAAATATTGTGTCTTTATTTTCTCTGAGAGAATGTACTTCATCCGTGTCGCTCATCTGTGCTTACCAAACCTTTCTCCCAAAAACGGCATAAAGCAACTTTGTTTGTTTTTACGTATCTGTATATTCTGCCTCTTACATATGTTATAAATATATTTTTTTGTTTGTTTTTCTCTGTTCAGCTTTGAGATGACATTACCATCAGACATAATCTGAGACTGTTTCTATACAAAGCAACATCTCTGTATGCATGTTGTAGTCTGAGCAACTATGTGACCACGAACAATTCGTTATGGTACACGTACGTCAACATTTCTGTAGAGCATTGTTCCCCATTACATCTATTAGCATTATGCAGAAAAATAAATGTGTATATAACTGAAGTGCCTCTGTCTGTTGTATTCTACGTATAAGGTCACATCTGTTGCATAATACATAATCTTAACATTTCATGATGGATTATACTAATGCATTAGACTGTTACTGTAGATATTACTCAACGTTTTAAGATAGTGTCCAAAACATGTCAGAAGAATAACACAAAGAATGAAGAATAGTGTCTGAAAAGTGGTGTGTGCATCATTTTTATGTTTAACCTTTGGCAGATGCCAGCAAATGTGTGTCCATGCCATAAAAATAATTAATTGTCCCAAATATTTTTAGCTTATTCCAGTTTTATAGACTTTGTTCTCAGATATTCATACCTTGAAATGGGAAAACAACAACCCAAACAAGCAGCAAAAAAAATAAAATAAGTTTTAGCGCTGCGGCGATGAACTGCTTTACATTTCTTTTTCTGGATGTGAACTGATGAACAGACAAAGCTTTGTGGCAAAAAAGGTGTAAAATGCCACAAATCAAAAGATTCAGTTTGACACAAATGAGGCAGAAATTAAAGGTAACCTAAGATGAAAAAGTACAAAAATATAAATGCAGCATGAGAATAGGAACAAAATGTTCATACTAAAATGAGATGCAATTTCAGTAGGCTGAATTTTATTTAAATTATATTTTATTTAAACTGTGCTTTTTTTTTCTTTTCTTTTACTTGTGCGCATAATTGGTGTACAAAAAGAACTCATCTAACATCCATAAAGCATTTCTGAAGAGTTAAGGGTGTAGTTCTTCACTCCGGCCGCTAGAGGTCCCTGTAGTCTGTGACGTCACGTCGATTTCAAAGGGTTGAAAAAAAGTCGCGCGGAAATCACACTCGAAATGATGGAGTCTGAAGTGGCTGCTTCAGAAGGCGAGAATACAGAGGATGCCAGTTTTTCTGACGTTTCTGCTCTTGTCGCAGGATGGATGTTTGATTTTATGTTTGTTAGTTTATGTCGGCGCTTTAAAGAGGGAGAGCTCGATGAATACAACGAGACCCTTTCAGTTCTTGAGGGTGAGTAGCTACCCCCCTTATCGTGGCGGTTACAGGATTTAGTTGATTTTTATTTTATTTATTTGAGTCGCGCTAGTATCGACTCCGGATAATTCATTTATATTTTCTAACTCAACTAACAAAACACTTTCAGGCGTTTTAAATCCCACAAACTGTCAAAAGTGTGAAAACTTTATTATGTACGATCGTTTCATCAGCTTTAAAACACGTAAAAATAAAACATTATTTGTTGTCAGAGTGACTAAAAGGACACAGAGTATATATTTATGAAATATTTCATATAAAATAGCTGGTTAATTTTAATTGAAAGACCGTGTTCAGAATATAAACAAAACTTTGCAGTGCTCCTGCTAAAATGACCCGAGTAGCTACAATAACCAACGGTAGGTAGTTCCTAAAGTAAAGTTTTTTTAAATTAATTTAATTCATTTCATTTCTTTAAAAAACGACAAAGTTTATGTACAATAAAAAACACAAATCACAAATAAAATGAAAGGCGACAGAAAGAAAAAAAATCATAATATCTGCGCCTTTTTTCTCAAAAAATAAATTTAAACAATAAGTTATGTCAGTGTAATTAACTCGGTTGAGTAAATGCTAGCCCAGTCAAATATGAATATTTATTTTTCAGGGTTCTGTGAACAAACTAGTCCATATAGGAGGGAAAAAAAGATGTCTGTTTGATTTATGAATGCTTTTCCTCAGCCATTGCTCAGGATAAATCTCTTCAGGGAGCTGTCCATAAAGAGAAGCTCTTCATTTGTGCCTTCCTTACAAGAGTCACGTATGGGAAAGAGTTGGGTAAGTTCTTGCAGACAGAAGTGGTAAAATAATCTTATTCTATAATCCACATTAGCCTTTAGTTTCACACTTGTACAATATTATACCTAAGTATGGCAGGCCATTTTAACATAAAATCATCTTTACGACATTTACATTCCAGATATCTAAAATAAGTTTATGAATAGACATATTACTTATTTAGGATATTTTTTTAATATATTTTGACTTGTCAATTTGACATACTAGTATAAATGATCAATGATGTTCTTCTGACTAGTCAGAGTGTAAATACAGATATCTTAAATTATCATTCAGGATTGTCAAAATGTAGTTGTTCCTAATCAAAACTCATTTTTTGATATCTAGAATGTAATTGCAGATAGTCAGAAGAGGCCAGTCTTAGGTTAAAGCGGCCTGCCATAAACACAACGTTATTCTGCTAGTTGTTGCTCCAGTGTGTTTCACCATTTAAGGTCTGCCACTTGTCAAAGTCAGCACAAACAGTACTGAGCCACTTTTCTCCAGATGTCGAGTTTGACGAAGACAAGCATTTGATGCCTCTGATGTCTGCTACCAAAGTATGGTGGGACCTGGAACACACCGTCGATGACGAAACTTTGTTCAGAAACATTGAAAGCCTTTTGTTTGTCCAGGTAAATCTGAAGTACTTTGAGTTTTTCTTTCTGATTATGTTTTAAAGAGAGGAAAATGCACAGTAGAGTTAAAGAAATTTGGTTTTGCCATTAACAAGATTAATTGTAATTTCCTGGTCAACTCTTGCATTTTTGTTGTAGTTCTTATTTTGCGTCTAAAACATTTGCCCTGTCTCCAGACTGTGGCTGTCTGCCTGGAAAAAGGCCAAACATCCTCTGCCTCCTCTGCCCTCAAGTGGTTAGAAAAATCGCAGAAATGTCCAAAGGTCTTTATGTTTTTGTCTTTTTGTTTTCAAAGACAAATGGCTGTTCTTTTACAGTCGGCTAGCCCAGGATAATAGATTTTAAAAGCTTGATATCTGACCTTTTTCTCTAACAGAGCTTAAGAGTTAAGCTGTCAACTGTCATGAGAAAGATGGAAACTTATGACCCGTTTCTCAGGAGCTTCAGCTTCGACCGCCTGCTGGAGATGATCCGGTCCTACTTGGATACATACCTGAAGAAAAATCCATCTGACTATCTTCTCAAGGTAAAGAACTGAGTGGTATCTGTCAGATCTTTAAATGCTGTAGAGCCGTTTCTGCCATGCATTGGAGTCCTAAAATATTGATAACATAGAAGGGTGGCACATCAGTATATACTGTAAGCGTGGGCTAGCAGCTGCAGCATAACACCCAGAACTCTGAGTGAGGCAGTGCCTAAAGGTGGCAGTAAATGTTTTGCAGCGTTTGCTTCCCACTAGGGCTGCACCTAACGATTATTTTAATAATTGATTAATCTGTCTATTATTTTTTCGATTAATCGGCCAAATCAATCAAATCAACACTTGATTAAATAAATATAAGTAGATATAAATGAATTTAATTGCTGTATAAATTAGGGATGCAAGTTATCGATTAATGTGAAGTTGTCTGAAGTTGATTTATCTAATAGATTCACTGATTAATTGATAAGCAGCTATTTTCTTAAAAACCAGGGTTTTATATTGAATGAAGAGGGACTTTTCAAAAAATGAAGGAATTTTTTTAACAATATGCTAAATTAAAAAAAAACACATCATGAATATTTTCACAGCTGATTTAGTCAATCGTATTAAAC